GCCTAGGAGGATGCGAACTTTTAGCTTGGCTTGGGTACTTGCTTTGGGCTCACAGTGTCCCAGGGTGTGTGGAGAAAGAGGTCCTGACCTGAGCCCCCCACTGCTGATGCCGAGCAAATGGGGTCTCTTCCTGTCACTTAATGCTTCCCAGGCACAGGGGGTTGGGGGGGGCGTGGAAGGCAGCATGGTCTCCGGGCTTGTCACTGTCCTCCCTCCTAGCTCCTGGCTGGTGCCTTCGCAGTCCTTCCTTAGGGCGACTTCTCAGCGACCCCGCACAGCACTGCTTAGATGTGGGCCTTTTATCTTTTAACCGTTCCAGCATTTTAATCATGCCCATGATGTCTTGCTTATCTTAGGATGGGGGCTCATGGGCAGCCACATCTATAACTTGCCACTCTTCTTCCTATTTTGGGAAGCATTACTGGAAATAGTCTCTCCTCTTTTTATAGAGACCTTCTGGAGCTTTCCGCTAATATATGCAGAGACGAGAAGGAATGGTTGAATTTTTTTAAAAAAACGGAAAAGTAAAGGTTGGAACATGTCACTTGATTGTATCTGGCCTGTGCTCTTGCAGCAGTGGTTCACTCCCTGTGGCAGTTTTGCCCCCTCAGGACAGTTGGCAGTGTCTGGGGACAGTTTTGGCCAGCAGCCTGGGGAGAGACCTACTGGCATACCGTGAGGAGGCCGGGGACGGTGGCCCTCATCCTGCAGCACCCAGGATGTCCTACGGTGAACGGAACAGGCCAGGTCAGCAGTGCCCAGCGTCTGAGGGTGAGACCCCTACCCTGGGTGAAGGTTCCAGACCACCTCTCTTTTGAAGCCTTGATTGCTTCAGCTGTACATAGTCATTTTCTGCCTTTCTGTTATCTGCTTTTTTCTTCCCACCTGAAACCCTTCCTTCTGGTGTTGGTATTTATGACATGTGGCAACTCCAGACACACTCGCGCACACACGTGCTCACACACACACACACACACACACACACACGCCCTGTCTCCCTGCTTTCTGCACAGCACTGGGCATGGAGATGTCCCACACAGCCAGTTACCTGGCAGGCAGCACAGACAGTAAATGCAGGTGTGCTCCTGCAGAACCCTTGAAGTGCACCACCTGCAGGGGTGCCTGACGCTCCTGTGCCCCCTCTCTGGTGGGAGCACCCTGCCCTTGGCCCCACACAGGTGCGTTTGCTGCTGTCCACCCCCCTGTGGTACTCATGTGTCACCCTGGAGGAGCCCTAGGAGGGCAGGACACTGAGCTGGACTCAGGACGCCTCCACCTGGCCTCTGCCCTTTCCATCCACATGGGTACGAAGCCAGCCACCCCTTCCAGGTCCGCAGATGCCCCTGGCCAGAAGTGGGCTGGGGATACCTTTTCTTCTGGAGTCAAGCCAAATTGGGGTTTGAGAAACGGGCTCTGTCCTGTTCTGTTCCCCCTTGTTAAATGTGAAATGTGATGTTTCTGTCCTTGGGGTGACATTGAGGAGCCCCTCTTACAGTTAGTGCCCCTGATGGTATTGAAGTCACACAGTTGCCCTAGCCCCCTTGGCAGAGGTGGCTTTTGTGGTTGGTCCTTGAGGAACAGTGTGAGGATGCAGGCACCCAGAGGACCTCCAGGGACTCCTTTTCCTCCTGGGTCAGGGAGGGTCCCCACCTGAAGGCCAGCACGTACTTGTCCTTCCTCGAAGGCTGGCAGACCAGCGTTGGGACCTCTTTGACTGTTGCACTTTTCACCTTCCCCTTATACCGTGAGGAAATTGGGGACCCTGAAGAGTTTGAATACAGTGTCCCCGGTTGGGGACAACACCCAGAGTTGTCGGTCTGTAGAGGCAGAGTGCAGTGATGAGTCCTAGAAACCGCTGCCACCTTACCACATGATTTGAGACTCATGCTGAAAGGTGAAATAGCAAAGTGTTAGGTGCATGTGTCTGCCTGATCCCCAGCCGTGGAAGGTAGTGGAAGGTAGCTGTGGAAGGTAGCAGTTGGAGCCCCCACTGAGCAGAACTTCCCTGTTGGCCCTGGTGTGTGCGTGCTGAGGCCGGGGTAAGAGCCCCCCTGGTTGGCTGGCTGCTGCCGCCAGCAGACCCTGTTCTGCAGAGAGGCTGAGAACATGATTACTAGCTGTCAAGTTGTGTTATTTGGAAAGTCAGCTTGCGAAGCAGATGGCTCTGCTGCAGACTACCGGAGGTTTCCTTTAAATAAGGCTTATCAGCTCTCCTAACGCTTGTGAAATAATAATATTCACAGGGAGGATGTTTATAGGGTGGCCAAAGGAGCTCGTAAACTTGGACCTGGGAGAGAAGCCAGCTGCTGCAGGAAGGCAGGGGGGAGATATGTCAGGCTGTCTTGGACCTTCCCCTCCTTCCCCCTGCAGTAGAAGTCCCTGCTGCGAGGAGCTCGAGACCACTACCTTTGCCGTGGATGTAGCCTGAGATCATCTGCACACCTTTCACTGCAAAGCCAGAATGGTGATGTGCTGCACCGCATGGAAAAGTAAAGGAATGTTGTCCTGGGGGATCAGTTTAGAGAGCTGCAGGAAAGTAAAGCAGAAAGCCAGGAGAATATGCGTGGTATGGTGGCCCTTTGGGCTTTGGGAGAGGGGATTTAGATTTCCAGTGCATTGCAGGCTGGAGCAAGTGCTCTGCATATCATATTGGGAGAGCTCATGTCTGGGGTGGTAGGGAGAGGCAATTCTCTGCCACTGGGGTTTTCAGCCCTCATTGTTGGGGCAGGCATGGAGCCCTCATGACTGAGTGGACAATCAGCACTTCCTTCTGGGGCAGAAAGTGCTGAAAGCGATTGAATACACTGACTGGGTGAAGGAGGCTGCCTGGAAGATTCAGTGTCATCTAAGGTAGATCAAATGGATTCTTCTACTCTGCAGCCTGCATCCTAGTATGGCAAAGCACAAAACCTGGTGTGGATTTAAGACAAGGTACAGGAACTGGGTGACATTAATAGCCCTGTATTGGAGCTCTAATGGAATGAGATTTAATGTTTCCCCTTTGGGGTTTATGAATAGCTCTGGAAGCAAGCACAATATATTTATTCATCTTACTGATGGAGCAGATGCTTTCATTTTAAAGTTCATCTCCATATCTGAAAGTTGCACTGTCTCCTCAGTGGTGGGACCAAGCCCTCAGCTAAGTGAGGAGCCCTGGCTTCTGCTGACTGTTGCCCTGTACAGCAGTCTCTCCGTCCACAGGGCTGAGCTCCTGGTTCTCAGCTTCCACCCCGTGGCCCAAAGGGCACTGCGGTGTAACGTTGAGACTTCTACCAAGTCTTAACGGAGTCGGTTCGAGCCGACTTGTGAATGCTTGGAAGGCAGAGACCCTGTCCTGTCACTGGGTAGCATTGCAGTAGTCAGATGACCCATAGAAACAAGAATACATAAATGAAAACTCACTAAGACGGCTTCTGGGTAACGTAGGACAGAGTGTGCTTTGGGTTAGTGTCCAGTCTGCTAATATTCATGTTTGTTCTGCTCTTCATTATCCACAGAGCAGAATGCTAATGCTTGCTAGGACCAAAGAAATGGCATTGCTGCGGGAGTGGGCCTGGGCACCGAGACCCCAGAGCTCCAGGTTCCACTCTCAGCCTTGGGGGAAGTGTCCACCTGAGCTTGGCACCCCCACCGCATGGGCTTTAGAAATGGGGTCCTGAAAGATGCTTCCTGCCCAGCTCCCACTCCAGAAGCTGGTATTCTTGGGGTTATTAAAGAGGGCTGCTCTACTGAAATGCAGAAGTTGACCTGGGTCTGCCTGGCAGCTTCACCTTTCAGAGTTCACCTCCAGAGTCCAGGAGAGTGGACTGTGGTGGTGGAAACTTATTGTCAAGGTAGAGGCTGCTCACAGTGGTTTGATGTGTTTCCCAGTACATTTAGGAAATAAAAAAACAGTGAATCACCTACTAGTCTTTCTCATTTATCTCATTAAACCTGAAAATACAATTTCACACCAAGGCTGAAAAAATCTAGATTTTCTACGACTGCACCTTGTTTGTACAAGACCTCATCTGATTCATCCTTATGTCACCATCAGTGCTTTGAACCCAGTAGAAATCCACAAAATGTTCGTTAGAAGATTCGGGTAGGGAAAAGTGGCACCTGACTGTGTGTGCCCACAATCAGCGAGTCTCCTCTGACACCAGTCGCTGGCATTTCTAGACCATCCGATTTGATCAGTGGACGTGGACTTTTCCACCTGGAACTTTGACACAAGCGGAGTCTGAAGCAGTACGCCTGTGTCAGGCCAGCGGGAGCGCCGACGGGCTGATCGCAACCCAGAAGTCTGGTGATGCTGAAGGCCGGCCTCTGGGGGCCAGAGAGGACAGGCTGGCCGGGCAGCGAGCCTGCTGGTTCCCTCTGAATTCTCCTGCCTGTTGTCACCCCTCGGGAAGTCTCCCCGAACAGGGGGAGAATGACCCTTTCTGAGACACTGGTCCGTCCACGGGAGCCACTGTCCTGCTCTTTGTTCTCTTCCCAGAGCACACTTGCTCCTATGTAAAGGTGGGGAAGGTAGCAGGTACCAAAGAAGGCTTGGTTTTTAAACAAGTGTGAGTGCCAGCTTCTGCCCAGCTGCATGGTTAGGAGAAGTTCCTTAAGCCTGCAGCAAGTGAGATTTTGCCACCCAAGCCCTGGAGTGTGTGAGTGGCTTTAGCCAGAGCAGGCTGGCAGCCCCGGCGGCTCCGGTCCGCGCGGCCGCGATCCACCCCGGCGCTTGGGCCTGCCGCGCTCGCCTCCGCTGCCGCCGCGCTCCCGGGACTCCGGCGGGGCTGGGCGCGCGGCCCCCGGTAGCCGCCCCCCCCCCCCCCCCCCGCCCGCTCCGCCCCGCCCCGCCCCGGCGCGCATTTCCATTTTAAACCTCCGCCCGCCCCTGGACCGCGGCCGGCGCTGCTGCCCGCGCGGCCCAAGCCTAGGGAGTGACGGAGGCTGCGGGGCCGTGGGGCTGTGCCGAAAACCCTCGGCGATGCGCAAGGGGCCCGCGCCGCAGACAATGAAGCTGCGGGCGCCGCCGCCCGCCTCGGGCCCCGCGCGTTGCGACAGCACCTGCCGGCGAGGCCGTCCCCGCGTCTGAGCGCCGCGCGCCCCCGGCCCATGGCTCGGCTCCCCGGGCCCCGACCCCGGCACACGGGCGGCGCAGCGCACGGGCGGGCGCGCCCCAGGGCCGCCTTCTCCGCAGCCTGAGCGCCCCTCTCCGCTCCCCGGGAAGCATGTACCTGCTGGACGGCGGCGGGGAGCCCGCCTCGCCACCCGCGGACGCGATGCCCCGCGGGGCGCCACCCAGGAAGACTGTCTACCGCATCTCAGTGACCATGGTCCGGAAGGAGCAGCTGGCGGCGCCGAGCTCCGACGGGCCCGACCCGCGCCCTGCCCGGGGGCCCCGGCCCTCGCGCTCCCCGGACGCGCCCGAGCGGCTGCTGGAGGAGGCCGAGGAGAACGCGGAGGGTGCCCCGGCCCAAGCCTGGGACGTGCGCACGTTCCGCGCCCGTAGCACCGGGCAGCTGGAGCTCGGGCGCCTCCGGCCGTGCGCGCGCGGCCCAGAGCCTGCGGACGTGGCCCGCAGCCCCCTGGCCCTGGAGGGGCGTAACTCGCCCGCGCCCTGCAGCCCGGAGGTGGAGGCGGCGCGGGCCCAGACCCTGCGGCGGAGCCTCAGCTTCAGGCACTGGAGCGCGCCCGAGGCGCCACAGAGCCCCGGCCCGGACGGCGGCAGGCACCGCAGCAGCTCGGAGAGCCTGGCCTGGGCGCCCAGCGAGGAGCCGGAGGCGCGCCCTGAGGCCGCCGCAGCCGCCTTGCAGCCCCCTTCGGAGAAGCGCAACACCTTGGACGTGGGCGAGGTGCTCAGCAAGAACGACGCGCTCTCGGAGCTGGAGCGCTGGGAGCGTAGCAAGAGCAAGAACCGCACTCTGGACAACAGCGACCTGCAGCGGCTGGAGCGTGCGCGGGCCGCGGCCTCGGAGCACCGGCTGCTGCGCTTCTTCAGTGGCATCTTCGCGCGCAGGGACGGCGCGGCCTCCCCGCGGAGGGGCGCCCCGCGGACGCGCGGCTACTTCAGCCTGCGGCGGGTCCCGGCCGACGCTCACTCGTCCAGCGCCGAGAGCATCGACGGGTCCCCGCGCAGAGGTGGGCTCCGGGGCGGAGAGGGGAGTGGGGGAGCCGGCCCGGCGCCCCAGCAGCCTGGCCCGCGGTGCACGCTGGGACTGGGCAGTGCGCTCCGGGACCTGTGCGCCCAGGTCAGCAGCTGGCCCGCCTGTGGCCGCGCCGGATGTGAACTCCAGTACTGCGGACTTGGCCAGCAGTATTGCAGCAGCCTGGCCCTGCCCTGGCTTTGTGTGCTCCTGCCTTTCCGGGTCTGTCGCCTCGGCCTTGGTGAGCTTGGCGGGAAAGATCCCTTGCCAGAGCGCTGCAGGTCCCCAGTAGGTGCTGGCTCAGCTGCCTCCATTAGCAGGCTGGGAGCGCGCCGCTGCGTGCCTGCCTGCCACCGCGGGCCCTGTGGATCGCGCCCAGGCCACACGCACAGTTGCAGCTCTGGCCGGGAGAAGCCGGCGTGCCTCTGGGGTTGCCCCTCCCCTCCCGTTGCGTCTCGCCCGTGGGCCCTCCTATGTGGGAGTACTGTGTCCTGGGTGATCTGGTGTTCCCACCTATAGAGCTGGTGGTGAAGCCGGTTCACAGCTGAGGATGAGGGGTACAGAGGGGCAGGGATTCAAGTCCCCTCTCCACAGCGCTAGGGAGTGGGAGCTCGATGGGGGAAGGCAAGTCTGGAATAGGATTCTGTTTCCTGGGGGATGTGCGCTGGCCAACTGGCAGGAAAGCCTCAGCTCCGAAGCCTGTTTTGAAACCTCAGTTTTCTCTTGTCTTGTAGGGGTCCTGCAGCAGAGGTTCTGGAGGCGGGGATGGTAGTAGCCTTCTGTAGAAGTCAGTTAACCTTGTTGTAGCATTTGTGGCTCAGAAGCTCCAGAAACTGCAAAATAGACCCCACCTGTGTATGCTTTAAAGGAAAAAGGCTGGGGCCTGAGGGAGATCAGATGCCTCCCCTTTACTCCTGGGAGGGGAGGTAGAATGCCTAAAAGCTGTTGTACCCACTGGCAGGTGTACTGCATGCACAGGAAAATCCTTAATCTTACCTTTAACCTGATTGCCAAGTAGCTGAAGGTAGTGGGTTGTGGGCTTTGGCTAGCTGATTTCACCTGTTATACAGCCAGCCCTGGAGAGAGCTTTCCTCCTCCCAAGTGGACTTCACAAGTTAACTGACTGATCCTGGGTTCATATGAAAAATCAACCTGGCAAAAGAAGTGCTGCCCTTGCTTAAATATCAAGGCAAACTGCAGGCCAAATGGTCATGTTCTTATAGTCATTGGATGTTCTCAGGAGGGAGTAGAGGATGCTTGAAACTAAGCAGCTGGGTGTGGAGTGGGGCTCACCTCTGAGGGCTTCATTAGAGAGGATTAGCATATGAGGTTCCTGTGGTGAGGCTGGTTGCTTCCATTTGCCACACACATCTTGCTTTAAGGTGCTTTGGTGTGTTGACCTTGGGAAGGGGGGAGTTCGATCCCAGCCCTTATCCCTTCCCTCCTTACGTCCCCTTAAAACATTAGAAAATGGCATGGGGTCCTGTGTTGGGAAGCGCTGGCTAGCATGGAGTTTTGCTGTCATTTGTGTTTACAGGAAGTTGAAGTCGGAAGGGCCCAGCTCTCCCTCTAATAGCAGACTTACCTTCTCGTGGACTTCATAGAGAATAGTAATTAGCTGCCTGGGTTCCAGACAGTACCTGTCTTGCTTGGTGGGAAGGGGGGAGGAAGATGCATAGACCTGATTTAGAGCGAACATACGCCGTCAGGTATAGAAGTGAAAAGCATTGAGGTTTTGGTGTTTCCTTTTGGGACAGTAGATTTGCAATAGTAAGGGTGTGAAGTGTGTTGGAATTTTTCCCCATAGGGCAGTATAAGTTAATAATAGTAATAATTACAGTAATGCTCAGTTTATTTGTCCTTTGTGGGCAGATCTTAGGATGGAATTATGTTGGTTTGAGACATAACAGCATGGCTGGCATCTGTGGGCTGTGCAGAAAAACAGTGCTTTAATGAGCTAGGTGACAGCACCCACGCTGAGAGCTCTCTAGGCCCTCATTTAAAGCTCTAGATAATCATTTTATTTTTTAGAAAGTTGCACTGTTCACCTGGGTAAAAATCTTTGCTTTTGGCAAAAATAATGTGAACCCTTTTGGTGAGGCCAGCAATGATGTATGTGCCGGTTACAGGCAAAATTTGCACTACCCACAGCTTTCAGAGCTTCTCATTTTATTAGATTTCTCCAGTTTTTATACATTTGTTTCCTATAACAGAGTATTCAGAATTTAGGTGAATTTAGGTGCAAGGCCCCCTGCAGATTTCCCTGTGCGTGCTTTGAAGGGGCTGAGCGGGTTTGCAGGCTTAGACATTTTGGGTTTAGGAAAATAAAACAGTGTGTGTTACGGAACACCATCTGTGAGGCCACCTAGCCCCCTCTCCCATCACATGGTATTTTGCAGCAAAGCCTCATGTCAGTTCACGTCTGTTTTTGTCACTCAAACATCTATGAAGAAATGTTCCACTCTCAGACCTTTTTGGGTTCATAATTGCAGGTAAGGTACTGTAGATCTGGAACATGATAGCATCAGGAGGGCTGTCCCCTGGCTGCCTTTTAAGTCTTGGCCATACTGTTTTAAGGTTTGTAGTTCATGAAAATGTAAAGGAAATGAGAGGTGACATCACCCACGGCATATTTTCCTTTGGTTTAAATCTTTGTGTTTCTCAAAAAAAAAAAAAAAAAAAGTACATAGCTGGGGCCGGGGATTTAGCTCAGTGGTTCCACCTCCTGCCTCACAAGCACAAGGTCCCGAGTTCGATTCCCAATACCACCCCCCCAGATACATAGCTGTTAACTTTTGAAGGTGGTCATAGAAAAAGTAACTTTAAAGACTATCACATTGGGGCTGGGGATCTAGCTCAGTGGTTTCACCGCCTGCCTCACAAGCAGAAGGAACAGAGTTTGATCCCTGGTACCAAAAAAAAAAAGTAAAGACTGTCACATTAAGTAGTCTTACTGGCTTCTTGGAATTAAGTGCTCTGTTGCTATCTCTCTGCCTCTCTCTCATGGGCCACCCTGCCCAGCCAAGTGCTCTGTCTTAATAAGGTGTCTGTCTCATCAGGAGAACTAATGGCTAGAGTCTCACTTTAAAGGGCACATGGTTTCATTTCCTGTATTCCTGAGGCATTTAGGGTGAATGGGAGGAAGCATCTACCTTCGTGGGACCATTCCCTTGTTCGTTCTAATCCTGTTTTGCTCCTCTGTGCAGGCTTTTCCCTGTTCTCCTGTTGTCCCCGCTCATGTGTGACAGGTGCCTCCCCAAGTTCCAGAGTCCACCCCAGCACAGCTTGGAGCTTTCAAATGCCAGCAAACATTTCAGAAGGACCCTGTGTTCAATTGAGGACAGCTTCCTGTTACCTGATACACGTGAATTAGGGTAGATTCTGTTGACAAAGGTGTAAAGAAGAAATGATAAATGATCCATTACACTGTAGCATGTCAGTCTCAAACGCATGCTCCCTGCATCCCAGAGAATGCCGTCCCATCTGACCGGCTCCTGGGAGCCAGCCACCATCCCAGAGCTGTCTTAAGGGTGTTCTTTTGCTGTCTGGGAGGATTGATTACAGCAATAAAGTGATTCATTGATGGCTCTGGCTGAGGTTAGCCTTTTAGTAATTTACAACCGATTTTTGACGGGCCATTTTATCAGTGGCTTTGTTCTGTAATTTCTGATTCCCTTGATTTGTGTCACTCAATTACTGTAGGGCCAGGACTGTTACAGTGTAAAGCAAACAAACCAAAAACCCCCAACAAAACCTTCAGTGGAGAAGAGAATGAACTAAGTGAAATTTAAATTATAACTTGATACATTGTTTTAAGCTTGACTCATCACTTCTGGGTTTATAATGAAACTATGTTATTCAGTGTTCTTCATTGAAACATTTTGAGCTGGTTGCATACATTCTCAGTTTTGTTACTAAAGGGAAAGTTCATAGTTAGTTGCTTTTCTATAAAGGGTCCAAATAGTAGTTGAAAAGCTGCCATCATTTTTGTTGTAAGGATTGAATTGCTCTCAGGCGACGGCAGCTGGCCTGGGGTATGAGGAACAAGATGTGTCCATCCCCAAGTTGGAGCCCAGGTTCAGCATAGGTCACCTGCTAGCATCTATCCTTGTCACAGCCTGGGCTGGGGTATCCTGCCACCAAGGGAATAGTCAAAAATGCACCTGTTACAGAGGTTTCCCTTTCAACACAGACCTGTTGCAGTAAACTGGTTATTCAGTTAACAGATACCCTTTGTTTGCATGCATTGGTGGTATTTTAAAAAATTTTAGTTGTCTCCTTTTTCTTTTTTTTTTTTTTTTGGCGATACCAGGGATAGAACTCAGGACCTTGTGCTTGGGAGGCAGGCATGGTGCCACTGAGCTAGCTGTCTGGCCCACTTCTCTCATTTTTCTGACATATGCTCAAACCTGTATTGAGCTGCTTCTGCAGTTACCAGGCAGCAGGGCCCTAGAGCTAAGGAAAGCATGGTTCCTGTCTCCAGAGATCAGCAGCGAATTGCTGGGGGAGATCAAGGCGTTCTGGTGAATCACCTCCACAGGGTCCTTAAGGGACGGTGTGGCTGCTCCCTGCACAGTGCTCCCCACTAGAGACTTGGTGTGCAGTGGTCACCTCCTTCGCCTGTCCCCTAGCCCACCCCTCCTGGGCACAGAGCCTTGAATCCTGCTTTCTGCCACAGAGTGAAGGCACTGTGTGGCACGTGGACTCTTGATAGGAGGAACTGATGAGTGAGTGAGGGCACACAAGATGAATGGGCGAAGGCGTTGGTGGGGCCCTTACAGAGAGGGAAATGGAGCTGCACCTTGCAGGGTGGGCAGTTCACCTGGTGGAGCGAGGACTGTGTCAGCAAGACAGCTGAGATTTCTCTAGTCATGCCTGTCCCCAGATCTGTGTGACCAGTACCAACACCAAGCATAAAAGGACGTTACTGTTTGTACAGTCTTTTTTTTTTTCAAATTTTTAGCATGAGATTTTTGTTTCTGATAAGAATTTTCC